CAAGAACAAGAACTAGACCAAAGATGCTGGGAACAAAATGTTTGGCCTGTCGGATTTTTTTCACGATCGGAAGAGAAAAATCAAAGAAGAGCTTGAGAAATTGCGGAAAAGGAACATGGAAGCCAAGTACCCTACTTGGATTAATCTGATGGATGAACTGTCAGAAATTCAGTTGAGGGAATTTTATGCCTTGTTGAGCAATAAGGCCAGATACGTCAAGTCGAGGATCGAAATGTTGAAACGAAACAACAATGGATTCAACATGAATACGATGGATTTGGGACATGGAAGATTGATCCAAAGAGGCATAGAGTTAGAGGAGATAAATCAGCAGCAGGCAATTTCCTCCATGAAACCAGTTGAAATGCATGTACCTATTCATTATCCTAGTATTGATCATCGCCAAGAAATGCATTCTATGATGCTTTTGATGAACGACAATGATTGTGTTCAATTTGGTGGTGCATCAAATAGTAGTAATATCCAGTGTGCATCATTTCAGAGACAGGTGTTTTATGAGTCCATGGCCGCAGCCGGGCATGGGGTGGTGGACAGTGTGATGTGCCATAATCCGGTAGCATTAGCACGATACTATGCGGTGGCTCCACCAGTCCTGCAGCCAACTTACTTGCAGCATGCCTTTGCGCCTCCACAACTGAATTCTTTGAAGGAGAGTGATGAACAAGATGATGTTTATCAGTATCAAATCAAGAACGAAATGGTAAGGTACTATGAGTGAGCGAGTAGTCACGTTATTTGTGAGATGAACCTTTGAAATTCTTCTGTTTTTTTTTATGTTTTTTCATGTTGGATTATATTTAGTTTGTCAAGTTTTTCGAATGAATCTCGATGATATAGTAAGTTTCAATAGCAGTAAGACATTTATTACTTAGTGTTAAAGTTGCACATTCCTTGCACGTTCATGTCATGTTCCTCGCACATGAATGCAGTACATTCTTTATTGAGTTAACCTTACAATCAATGTTCGTTCTTTGCACGTGAACTTTACATTCTTTGAAGGGGCATGACAAGAATCCAAATAGAAAGAAAAATGTGACATGGACTGTCAAACTAAAAACCAGAACTAGAACCAAGAAGCATTAAGAAATTTGAAGCAATTTTATAGATTAAATTCATCGGAAATCAGAAAATAAAAAATCAACGACACTGCTGAATTCTTGTATTCCTACTAAAATTCAATTTTCGCGGCACTTGTCCTCTCTCATATTGTCCTCTCTCATATTCGTATAGGACTTGTCAGCAGGTGAGAACCAAAGGAAAGGCTCTAGATGAGTGAGATGAGAAACGTCATTGGTTACGATCTCAAATTATTGATCTTCGTTAGTTCTTCGCTGACTATCCCATCCATCCCTTCAAATGCTTCTGTACCATCACAAAATAGTAATTCAAATATCAAACATAATCAGAAGTTCAAAAAAATAAAATAAAATTATGTGAATAAGAACGAAATCAGCATCGTCAATTTGAATCATATATTCGCACCATATGCATATCGGCCATCATGCAATCAATAGAATTGATTGCCATTAAGGTCATATGCACAATATCCAAGTGTTCAGTCCTCAGTACTAGATATAATTGAACAATATATAAAGGAAAACTCACCCCTGAATCATGATTTTGGGATTCATCAGTTTCAGAAGTTGGTTTAGCATTCCTCTTAGCTTTGAGTAATTTTTCACAATTTTCGTAGAAGGTGAAGTCTTTTCTGAATAATTCTTGAAAATGCTAAGCATTTCTAACCCTTGCTTCAGTCCAATCTTTTAAGAAAAAGTACCTCGTGTCTTCCTGGTATATGTCACGGACTTATTATCATTGTTTTCAAGGGTAATATGTTTTAATTGAATATTGGGAACGTCTTTAATTACGTGCCACTCTACGGGAAAGAAACCGTTCCACTAGTCGAGCTGCCAGAAGTCCATATTTTTGTCGAAATCAAACTGCCCAATCATCTCAGCTACACCTATAAACTGTCCACTTGTGTTCACCTGGATATAAACGAAGGTATAAATCACTCTAGTAAAAGAAGTGCGTGTTGGGATAAGCAGTATGGAACATGACTGAACTAGTTTGTATAACGTGATAGATTGTAGTTTATTTTTCTTCTTTAATGAAGTCAGTTCTATTTAAATAACCCCAACCAGACAGCATAAGTGACTGAAACTACTAAAACGAAAGCATAGTGAGATTAAAAAACTGGAGTACATGATTTCGGTAATGATAAACAAAGGTTTAGTTAAGATGACTATTACAAAAGATCACAAACCCGAAAATTATCAACTATTGAGTTGCAAAATAGAAGGAAGAAATGCAATGAGGTTACAGAAAAGAATAGGAAGACTGGATATTTCGCTCCTGATTCGCACGTTATAGCATTTGCATTGCAGAAAGCAGCATCTAATTTCTTGTTTTCCGTTTGGAGTAATTGACCAAACGTCATATTTGATGCAATTCCATCCTCACTATATGGCTTGATCACATAAAACTTTGCTCTATCATATTGTATTTGAAACTCTTCTAAGTTATAGTTGTCCCTTGGAATAGCCAGCCCCGGCTGCTCCTCAGCTGATAACTGTGTGGAATTGTTATTACTTTTGGCCCTCGGACCACGAGTTAATCCTGCTGAGGATCTAAATTCTCCATTTATGCTAAAATTTTCTCTTAACTTGTATCTATTAATATTGTTGTTCCATAATCTGCCTGTTGATTGGTAATTCACTGGACCATAGTGCATGAAACCATCTGTGTTTCAGTTTGTGAATGATGAAAAATCCAACTGGTTGAAATCCATTTGGGACAGCATTCGAATGGAATTCAGAGCCTAACTGCAACAGATGACAACTCAAAGTCAAGAAAACACCTATGCTAATGCAAGACACCAGCGTGGAAAAACCATGAAATCAAAAGATTTAGTTAATACAGATCGCAATAAACTAAGTGCATTTTTGGTAGGGAGGATGGATAGTACTTGACACTAAATAAAAAAGAACAAGAAGCTAATTATCTTGTTCTTTATTCAGTCAAGTCATGTCCAATACTACGTACCAAACATGCATTAAGTTTTAATACAGATCCCAATAAACTAAGTGTATTTTTGGTAGGGAGGATGGATAGTACTTGACACTAAATAAAAAAGAACAAGAAGCTAATGATCTTGTTCTTTATTCTGTCAAGTCATGTCCAATACTACGTACCAAACATGCATGAAGTTTTTTTTATGATTGCATGCAAACGACAAAAAATAAGAAAAAGGAATAGAAAGTGCAGGTTTAAGTCAAACTATCCGCTAAAGATTAAGAGTACAATATAATAGGTAGTTTAGAAGAATATGAAGTTCTGATTAAATATCGAGATATACCTTGTTTAACGGCCTGAGTGGCTGAGTAGGATGGATAGACTTTGAAAAAATAGAAGGCTGTTGTACTTACGGATTCCAACCCAAACTTGAAGCCTTGCTTGAAATCTTATTATAACTCTTTGTTGAGTTAAAAGCATTTGACCTCCTCGAAGCACTTGGTCCCATCATTCATAGTACCAGATTTAGAAGCAGAGCCAGTTGAGCCATTTCCAGAATAGGAAGAGTCATATGTGTAGCATGAAAAGGCGTCTGATCCATAAGGACCATAGCCAGGCATAAAATTGAGAAGGGACCATTATCTGATTTATCCCCTTGTAAGTGGTAAATCAATAAGATTATATTTAAAGAGTAACAACAAAGAAAATAGATTACATGAATTCTACATGAGAACAAGCTTCAGAATCCCAGATATTACACACTCGATCAATTTACTTATTTACAATTCCAGTCTTGTGGGAAGAACATACTCTGTAAGAACCACCTACTGTGTTAAAATAATCTTTGTCATCCGACTGAGCAATGCTACCATTATATCCTGCAATAACATTGAAATAACAATAGAGTAAATACATTAAATCAATTATTTCAGTGATTCACAAAAGATCTTCAGCTTCACATATAAACAATATCAACACAAGGTGCACGAACCTTGCACTACCTTTCAACCCTAACTAGAAACGACATCCTTCCCCAAACCCCACTACCCCACTATCAAGAAAAGGTGCAGTTGATAGAAGCTATTTTTCAATACAGAACCAGATAACTTCTGACCTGGGTAATAATAATCACAATAGCTAGTAGGTGGATAATAAACACCTTGCTCTGAACCCGATGTTTGATCAATAACAATTCCTTTGATACGGGATGTAGCATCATTTATGGAAGATGCAAAAGAAAGTGAAGCAGATGGCATCTCATCTTTCCTGGAAACCTGAGAGGTCGAAACTCTAAAAATACCGTATGTATTTGCCACAAAAATTGGAGACATCAAAGTACAAATTGAAAAGAATGACTATTTTTTGCTACTTCTCTCTCAGTTAAATTTCTGAAAGTATCCTTTAATTTTTGCAATATAGGCATAGTATGAATCCTAGAAACAGAGAAAACAGATTACTGACATGTTACAAGAACAGAGCTTGGTATGGAAGCTGGAGAAAAAATGGAGTTGCAAAATCAATCCTTGCAACTAAAATTTAAAATTTTACTGCCTATGATGCCAAGAGGGAAACATGAGATATTGTATGCAATTCAGCCACAAAACTCTACACCTTAAGAAGGCGAAAGCAACTATCTCATATTGACAGCTTGACCAAAAAGACAATGCGTATTTCTTTTGGTTAACATATTTTACATTGGTAGAATAACGCCCGAAACTAAGGGGGTATGATGATTCAAACCCAGCCAAAAAAATAAAAATGGAAGGAGAAGGAGAAGGAAGAGAACAGGACATTTAGTTGGATAAACAAATCATATCTCCGGTTAATTAATCAAGATAAAGAATTGTCTCTCAAGAAAAGCCACCTTAAAAAAGAGAAAGAAGAAATGTTAATACGTATTATCCCGATGCCAAACAATGTCGATGAAGGCATAACATATCTGCTCCAGACAGTTCACTCGAGGAATCAGAACCCGGACCAGGGGCTATTGGCTCAGCTGTAAGACATGGTTAAGGAATGGGATCAGAGATATATTTTCCTACAAATTTTATAAACTGATACATGTGGAAATAATTTCACTCACTACATACACAACAATAAATGAGAGAATACATAAATCAACTCTTGAATTAATATTGGAGTTGAAACTGAGGAGGAGTTATTGTTAAAGAAACAACAAATGTCAAAGCTTTAGAATCGTGCAAGATAGACTGCCTAAAGCACTCAATAAATTATTTTCTGCACAGGATATCAACATAGGATTAAAACTAATGCTCCGTGCAAGTCCGTATCCATCTTCTTTAAAAACACTAAACGAATCCAATAATGCTACATATAAATATAAATATCATTGGCATCAACAAGTGGGGGCTGATGCGAATTTCAGAGCTTGTTTGGTAACACTAAAAATTCAATTAAAATTGAAAATATAATCGTTATTGGTCCCACACGTCTAATAAAAATCAACGATAACGATTAGTTTTTCAATTTTAATCCGATTTTAATCTCTACCAAACACACTCTCAGAATTTGGACTACTAACAATCAATTTTTTTTTTTTGTAAGAGTTTTATGGAACTAAATTTGTTAACTTAAAAATCAACAATAAAA